CCCACGCCGCCCCTTTTCGTTCTACCGCCCCCCTGAAAAATGAAATCGCCCCCTGGGGGGCATTATCGCCCACGTTAAGAACCACTGATCTGTGTGATAGATCTTAGCTTCACAGACTGTACACCTTTTAAATTGGTCAACAGAAGACATAACCTTGACGGAGGAAAAATGTGGGAAACTATGAGCGAAGGCTGGCCTTTTTTTTCTTTTTCAGGGCGGAGAATAGCAAGAGGAAAAAGCAATTTATGAAGGAAAAAGTAGGTTATTTACTAATTTTTTAGGAAGAAAAAAGAATAAAGCTCAGAAGTGATTTCTGAAGTGCTATTTGAGTGAAGGATACAAGAAGACTGAGGGAACCATTAGGAACAGTTTGAGCTTGCATGCGGCGGGGGGGGGATTCTCTTTAGGCTATTGAGCTCTGGAAGGTTCCATGTTTGTTTTCACAGGCACAAAACCTGTTTGTGAATCACAGAGATCAAGAAGAACAGGAAGGGTTTTGATATTAGAAATAGAACTAGTCATAAAAAATTGTTCTATTGAAGATTTAACACAAATCATTCGTATTTCTCAATCTGCACTAAGACTTGCATATTTTGCCACTCCTTCTGGAATGTTCTTAGATGTAGGTTTTTCCCTACAGGCTTTGGCACTGGGAATTAAAATGTTTGATGGGCTGCTGCCAGTTGAACAACTGCAAACATTTTGCATGTGATTTGCAGAAGGGTAGAATTTAATGGGTGGGGCAAAATTCTGAAAGCCTTACATATTACAGAGGACCGCCACATGGAAAACTTCTATTTCTGAATTACACAGAACTTTAATGACAGCAATCTATTGCCTGTGACTGTCAGCTGTCTTAAGAGAAGGGCCATAAATTCCAAACTGCTGGCTGAGGAGGAGCTTGAAATCAACGTAAATGTTGCAGCTGTTTCCATATAAGATGCTAACCTGGCCTCTACACCATCAGCCATGTGAATTTGGGGAATTATTAACAGCATATAAGTTTGGAACTACCCACGAAAATTTGATGCACAGCCTTGAAGATGATCCATCACCGAAAGCTCGCTTTTTTGTTTTATTTTCTTAATAATCAAAGGGTATCATCTGCTCCTGCATCTGTATTGTTTCCACAACCATTCGGCTTTTTCATGATTTTTCCAACCTTCTTGTTTCAACCATGTAGTAGTCTAGCCGTAAATCACTTTATAAGGTATAAAAATCTTTTCATTTATCATTTAACATATTTGCAAGGAACGTGTTTTGCACGAAGCATTTTTTCTTCTCTTTGCAATTACACCTTTAAAGAAGGGGTTGGCAATTCTGGAACTACCACGGTGCACAACTATCCCTATTTTTTTCATTTATGATATTTTCAACTTCACAGCTTACTAGGTTTCTTGTTAAGCATACTACAAATTCAGCCCTATAAAAGCTCATTTAGTCCATTTATCTGCACAGTTGGGTATCCCAAGTCACCTGGGTGACTAAAATACTTTTCTGTGTATAAACACATACTTACAAAATTAACTACCAGGTGCTCTGAAGCACAGGGCCTCAAATGATTTCTTAAACATACTTATGATAAACACTTCCACTGCAAAGGTCACCGTTCTTTGGGTTCCCTTGTGATCCTATTAACAGTAGGCTGTCCGAGGATAACTTTCCTATTTTTTAAAAAATGATGCCACAAATTTTAATGCGCATTTTAGCTGGCTTAAAAGGCAGCACTAATTTACAGTTAAATTACTTTCAACTGATTTCAGTTTCTCATGTTCCACATTTCCATTCCAGTTCCAGTTCTCTAATAGGACCAATACAACTAAAACTTTTAAAATGATAGTGTCATCAATAAGAGCAAGGTACATTTCACTTTGCTATATTCTAACCCAGTGGTTCTTAACCTTTGTTACTCGGATGTTTTTAAACTGCAACTCCCAGAAACCCCAGCCAGCACAGTTGGTGGTGAAGGCTTCCGGGAGTTGCAGTCCAAAATTCCTGAGTAACCCAAGGTTAAGAACCAGTGTTCTAACCTAACTTTTATGTTGGGAGTCTACAGATCTCCACACTGTGCCTACATCAGCAGCCATTAAAGCGCTTCAGGATCAAAGGGATGCAATTGTGCATCTCTTTCACAGCTGCTTTACCCAAAGTGAGCCTTCGTTTCCTTTTTCCCAAGCCCCATGGCTTCGCAAAAGGCAGGGAAAAGCAGCTGCCTTCCGTGTATAAAACGACCCTCAATTTTTTTGTCTAATTATTTAAGGAAAAACTGTCATTTTATACAGGGAAAAATACGGTAGACAGAGGCAAGGAGAATACCTTTCCTTCTGGCCACTATCTATTCAGACTAAGGACTTGAACAGTGAAGGAGAATGTATTGTGGGGTGAATCTAAAACAGAAACCTTGTTCTATAAGTAGGATTTCCTTTGTGATTCAGAACACTACTTGGTTAAGATTTTAAACTTCATGAGCAACCTACTTAGGAAAATGAAACCTACACCAGACCTCACTTAACACATGAATGGAGGATGGAAGACATGCACAAGAGAAAGGCAGGACACCATGCACCCTCACCTGACATTACCCTTCTAATCAAAGGTAGATAAACACTTGGACAGAGGAACAGACAGCACATACACCCATGCCAAGACTCAGAAGTAGTCAGTAGTAACAAGCTTTGATTGGCTAGCAAGCAAAGTCAACATTTGTAGATCTTTGTAACTTTATAGAAATGGCTCTTTGTTGTTCTTGGCTGGTCTTGATTATTTATGTATTTTTACCTTCCACATGATTTTCCCCTTGCATTTCAAAACATCAGGCAGTAAGAACACATTTTTGCCTCAAAGAAACAGCCCTGGGACACAGCTAAACAATGAAATTTTCACATCTTTTCTAAGGATGTGCCTACAATCTTTCTCATTCTGAACAAACATTCTCTAAAATGATCTTAACCTTTCACCATTATGAACAGGAGGAAGGTCCTACTGTATTACTCTATAACGGAGAAAATACATCTAGCCAGCAGTCAACCATGTTGGGAGCCCCCAAAGCACAGGAACCATACCACCAGGAATGTTCTTTCAGTATGTTCACTTTACCAGTATGTTGCAAGATTATGGAGAGTCACATTCTTTCAGTGAGGATTATGTTTTCCTGAACTCAAAGAATTAGGTTGTATTTAATATTTGGTTTCCATGGCAGCCTGGTGAACTACGTTTTAAATCAGCAGATAGCTGATAGGTGTCGGCAGTACTCCAATTCTTTCATGTATTTCCTAAGTTTTCCATTTCTGAAGAGAATAGATTTATAGTAAATATACACAAGAGTCTGCTAGAGGTAGACTGCATAATAACGCACATACATGTCCTCTTCTTCATTCATCTCCAACATGTTTAAACAATCAGCCTCACTCATCTGAACCACCTAGAAGTACTGCTAATTAATTCAAAGATTCCATATAGATAACATCAATAAGGCAATTTACCACCTCGTGAGAAATAAAAGCTATTAACATAAAATTCTCACCCAGACAACTAAGGTAAATTAGGAGTTTGAAGAAAAATACTGAAGTCCTAGAGAAGGAAAAAAAATCAGACTGCCAAAAAGAAGGTGTTGGCTTTTATATTAAGAAAACCTTCGGCTTTCAAATTCATTTTCAAAGCCAACGAAGTTAACAGTAGTGATAGCTTTTGATTCTCCTCCAACAGTACCATGGAGAACAATTTATTTAGTAGGCTTCTGAAACCATCTAAAACAGCAGTCCCCAACTCTTTTGGGACCGCAGACCAGATGGGGGTGTGGGCTCCGTGTGCAGGGGGTGGGGCACCCCTACGCTCGCAAGTGAACATGTCACGCTCACGGATGGGCATGTCACACTCACGCAAGACCCCCCCGCAAGTGCGACACATCCCTCTGCAAGCGCGATACACCCACCATGTGTGCGTGCTGAGGGCGGGGATCCGTATCCACAGCCCAGTTCCATGAAGTCCACAGACTGGCACTGGGTTGCGGAACAGGGGTTGGGGACCTCTGATCTATAATATTAACCTATTACATCACCTGAGTTTTAATGGAAATGTAAGTTTATCCACTGCACTTTTGAAAAGCATAATGAAGTATCACT